GGGCTCAGGCAATCCACTCACCTCAGCCTCCCAAAGGCGCGGGATTACAGGCTGAGCCACCAAGCCCGGCTCTTTTTTTTTTTTTTTTTTTGAGTCAAGTCTCACTCTGTCACTCAGGCTGGAGTGCAGTGGCACACTCATGATCACCATGGCCTCGACCTGCTGGGCTCAGGTGATCCTTTTGCTTCAGCCTTCCAAGTAGCTGGAACTACAGGAGTATGCTACTACACCCAGCTAATTTTTTGATTTATTGGTGACGTGGTTTCGTCATGTTGTCCAGGCTTGTCTTGAACCTGTGGGCTCAGGCAATCCTTTCGCCTCCAAAGTGCTGGGATTACAGGCGTGAGCCACTGCTAGGCTATACATTTTTATTCTATGTACATCTGTGCTATGCGTTATATTACATAATAAAATAAGTTAAAAAAACAAAGGATCATGTAGAGCAGACAAACACCTAAAAGCAAAGAAACAAAACTGTGTCTCAATCCTCTCTATAGAACACGTGACATTACTAAGGAAGCAAAGAACACACTGCTTTATTAAGCCAAACTAAGCCAAATATTACCAGCTACCACTCACTGACCTCTTCAGCAGTCTCATCTTCTTCTTCATCATCTGGCTGGTATTCTTCATCTGAAGAATCATCTTCTTCAAGGTGGATATCCACAAACTGAGGAGGCTACATTAGGACAATTAGAAAGAAATGAAGTAATGGGAGTCATACATATTTGAAAAATAAAAACAAGTCACACATATTTGAAAAATATGGGGAAGAAAGCAAGGCAGACAAAAAATCCTAAGAGTATATGTGCAACTATACTCAAGACAAAGGTTAAAGTGATTCCATGAGATGTAAACCTAAGAAAAGTAGAATGGAAAAAAAAACAGAATTAAAACAAGAAGATAGGCCAAAAAATTAACCAACAGAAAGGAAGTAATTAAGTTTCAAAATTGATGAAGTCTTTCAAGAAAAGAATAACAATTACCTCTTCCAAGATTACCTTAATTTCATTGGCCTTCTTAATTGGTGAAATATTCCATGTTGGAATTACCTATCAACAAAGAATATAATAAATTACTGTAACAGAAATAAATTGCTGTTCATCTTTATTTCCTCTTTACCATCACAAAGAGTCATCTATAAGTAGCTGCAGTACCTACAAGTGTTGATTATCCCTGAGGGCATACTTTCAAATATTTGCCAGAATTACATAGAAGAAAACAAGGGAAGATTTATTTCTGTCATTATCATTTCTGTCTTAAACCTGGTAAGACTCATTTTTATCTATAAATGAGAAAACAAAGCCTACTTTGCCTATTTAACATCACAGCTAGGGGTCCATGAAAAAAAATAGATGTGAAAACTATTAGTTACCTATTAAATCACACAAACTTAAGATATTATAGGTCACGGCAGTCTTTTGACATCAATTTTTTAAATCAATTACACAAATCCATCAGAAGTACACCTCCAAAAAGCCAGCCACGAAAAGCTCTTACAGAAGAGTTTAGGGGTGAAATGTCATGTTGTCCACGCTTATTTTCAAATAGTTCAGGAAAAAACAATAGATATAGTGAGATATAAAGCAAATATGGCAAAAAGCTACTTTTGGAATCTAGATTCATTATAATAGTCTTTCAATCTTTTGTACGTCTGAATTCTTTTTTTCCAGACAGGGTATTTCTATGTCATCCAGGCTGAAGTACATTTAAACTCAAACTCCTGGGTTCAAGTGATCCCCACACTTCAGCTTCCCAAAGTGCTGGGATTACAGGCATGAGCCACCAAACCCAACCTAAAGAATTTTTTAAAAATTCTTTTAAGCTGGGCTCAGTGGTTCAGCCTGTAATCCCGTACCTTTGGGAGGCTGAGGTGAGTGGATTGCCTGAGCCCGCGGGTTCAAGACGCGCCTGGGGCAACTTGATGAGACCTCATCTCTACATAGATCAAAAATTAACCGGGCGTGGTAGCGCGCGCCTGTAGTTCCAGCTACCTGGAAGGCTGAGGCGGAAGGATCACCAGAGCCCAGCAGGTCGAGGCTGCGGTGGCTGGGAGTGGCCACTCATTCCAATCTGGGCGACAGTGAGACTCCAACTCAAAAAAACAAAAAAAAATTCTTTTATACTTCTGGTAAAATGCAACTGAGGATGTATAATTTATTGACCATTTAATCGTAACTCAACCAAAATCATCTTATGAACACAAAAGCCAAGGGGCCACTAGGTTCTGCCTCTAAAAGGAGACTTAGGTTCTCATATCTACTCAGCTCTGCTGTGTTCTGATCACTTATCTAGCTCTGTGTAGCTGGGACCTATTTAGAATAAAGAGAACTATGTGATTCAGGTTCATTCCCTGTCCCATGGCTGTTTCTGAACCAATTTTCCTATTGCCAAATTCATCAGGAAGACAAGGCAGCATTTGGAACTGTGTTAGAATCAGTCTACTGAGCATTAAAAAGCAGGAGACTTGAATTCTAATAATTGTTCTCCTACATAAGCTACAATCTTGGAGGTCCAACTTCCCTGTGCTTATATTCATAGTCAACAAACATAGTCCATAGCCTAATTTGGATCTCCTTGTTGTTGTTTTTGTTATTTTTTTTTTTCCAAATCAAATATGGAATTAACATTCATTGTACTCTATATGGCAAGCAGAATTAATAGAACTTCCATGTCATTGATGGCTGCTTTCATCATAGCCACCACATGTTCATTTGTGAATACTTCCTGGAGAGAGATGAAATGTCAATTTATGCAATGAGGGTTAGTCAATCAGACAAAAAAACGTGATGAGACTGCCAAAAACGCCTATACATACTTAAGCTACATTAAGAGAAATATGAAAACTGAAACACTGTGTAGATACTAACTTTAACCTATGCCAGTTAAGCCACATCTGGTTCAGTAGATTCTACTTGAGGCATACTATTTAAAAAGGATACAGACCAACTAGACACATTCAGAAGAAAAGAATCAGATTGGCAAGGACACTCAAAGCCTTGACACATGAAAAACACTAGGACACTGGGGGACGTATAGCCAAGAAAAGAATGTTAAGACATGACATACAACTTACTACTTTTCTTCAACTATAGGAAAGGTAACATGGAAGAAAAACAAATCTGTTTCTTCTATAGGGCTCTAAGAAACAGAGCCAAGACAAAGAGACAAAAATGATCATATGTATCTTGGAACCATAAGGCAAATCGTTTACTATCAGAGATAAAATGGACTCTCTCAGGACTATTACCTGCCTTGCCACAGAAGTAAGCGTAAACTAGGCAAGTATTTGTTAAGAATATAGCAACACAGCTGCAAGCGTCAGAGTTTGCTATACTAAAGTCTCAGCAATCTTCAAGTGGTTCTCAACCATTAATGTGCAAAAAGAATGAACTATTGTCTTTTCAACAATGCATATTCCCAGGTCCTGCCCATGAATCTGATTCTTAGGTCTGAGGTAAGCCCAAAAGTGTGCTTGTTTATTTTTATTTTTTTATTTTTTTTATTTTTTGAGTTGGAGTCTCACTCAGTCGCCCAGACTGGAGTGCAGTGGCCGCTCCCGGCTACCGCAGCCTCGACCTGCTGGGCTCCGGCGATCCTTCTGCCTCAGCCTTCCAAGGAGCCGGAACTACAGGCGCGCGCTACCACGCCCGGCTGATTTTTTTATTTATTATAGAGATGAGGTCTCGCTGCCCAGGTGGGTCTCGAACCGGCAGGCTCAGGCAATCCTCTCACCTCAGCCTCCCAAAGGCGTGGGATTACAGGCTGAGCCACCGAGCCCAGCTAAGTGTGCTTGTTTAATAAGCACTCCTGAGAGACCTCTACACCAAGGTGAATTTGATGGAACTGGTTCCTGAAATACATTTTGGAATATAATACATTTATATTAAACAAGTGTTATAATATAATAAAAGAAATGGCCTCACTCATTGGTTTCAACCATTCCAAACAGTTAGCACTTCCAAAAAGCAATGCTTCATATCAACCAAAATAAACTATGATAATGATTTCATATATTCTGTCTCCACTGGTCTTTTACAAATAATTATTTCAAAAGGAAAACCCAGACCATAATCTTTCCTATATTTTTTTCTTTCAAATAATCTGAGATTAGATCTGACTTACCAAGATAAAGAAAGAAAAAAACAGAACACTTACCACTCCTTTCTCTACCACTTCCTTCAGTTTAGAGCGTGTCATTTTGGGTTCCTAAGGAGAGGGAAATGGAAATAGTCAATAAAAATAGCCATGTGATTCCTGGGTTTTCAGATGCTAACTTTACTTACTCCCAGGGGTCAAACTATTTACAAACTCCCAAGAGGCTACATTTAGCCAGTTACAAATAAGTCAGTTCATTACAACACAAGAGTGAGAAAAAGCTACTCACAAACATTGGCATGTCTTCTGTCTCACTGATGGCTGCTTTCATCATAGCTACCACATGTTCATTTGTGATAACTTCCTGGAAAAGGTGAAATTTCACTTTAGGCAACAAGGGTTTGTCACCTAGACAACATTCATCTCTATGTAACTCTGCTAGATCTATGTAGCAAATAACTGAGAGCTATATACTCAAATAGCTCCAGATTGAGGTAAAGCAAGACAACTGAAAGCAAAGAAGGCAGAGTTGAAGTTCTGAACAGAGGCACACAGCTTCCAACAATGTAGCAGCAAATGAACCAGTCTTAATAGCTGCTGCTAGGAACAGGAATGGTTCACTTAAGAGATCCTGAGGTAACTACATGCTCAAGAGAAAGAAAAACAAACAGCAAAGATCTGCAAACAGCTGTGTTGCTGCATATCAAGAATAATATTTACATATGTATTAAAGTAGAAAAACTGTTTACTGGGCATCTTTTCAGATATATCAACCCACAAAAAGTGAATTCACTATCAACATCATCATCTTCGAATCAACTAACCAATGCAATAAATAATCAAGCCGGGCTCAGTGGTTCAGGCCTGTAATCCCGCGCCTTTGGGAGGCTGGGGCGAGTGGATTGCCTGAGCCCGCGGGTGCGAGACCTCATCCCTACAATAAATCAAAAAATCAGCCAGGCATGGTAGCATATGCCTGTAATTCCGGCTACTTGGAAGGCTGAGGTGGAAGGATTGCCGGAGCCCAGCAAGTCGAGGCTGCAGTGGCCGGGAGCAGCCACTGCACTCCAGTCTAAGCAACAGAGTGAGACTCCAACTCAAAAAAATAAATAAATAAATAGATAGATAGATAATCAAATCAGTGGAAGGAAGCAGAGGAACAATTTATCTTCCCAATTAAGTTCTCCTTTAACATGTGTTCAGACTTCAACTTGTGCTGTGTGCAAGAGGGAAAGTTATTTTAAATATGCAAAAATGCTAAACATTTTGTCAAAGGTAGCCTACAAATATGGTAATTCACATACAAGAGTCAAGAATTTGCTGAGTATTTTGCTTTCCATGGAAAATTTCCCTTCCAGGTACACAGCTGCCCCAGTCTTACTCACATGAAGGATGTTTCGCACATTGACTGCTGTTAGGTTGTGCTGCTTGGCGCCATCCTCTAAGGTACGGTCAAGCATGTCGTCCAGTTTCAGGTCATAAGCCAAGGTCCCCTCTTGGCCCCTTCCATCTCGTTTCCTCTTGGTACCCTTTTTCTTTTTTCTCCTTTTCTCATTTTCTTCATTGGCTTGCTCTTCTGCAAATAAACCAAGAGTATCACCAGAATCTCCAAACCAACTGCTCTAGAAACTTAGCCCAAAAAGCAAAGAGGAAAAAAAAAATAAAGCTACCAGCTATTGGGCCCTGAAAACCAAAGAAAACTATAATATAGTAGTGGTGGTGGTAATGGTAATGCAGTAGTAACAACAGCTAACATTCTCCGAATATTTTTTTTGCCAGGCACTCTTCTACACACTTTATTATTTTATTTCATTTTTTTGAGTCAGGGTCTCACTCTATCGCCCATGCTGAAGTGCAGTGGCATGATCACGGCTCACTGCAGCCCCTACCTCCTGGGCTCAGGAGATCCTTCTACCTCAGCCTCCCAAGTAGCTGGTACTACAGGCACGTACCACTATGCCCATATATATATGTATATAGTAAAGGTGAGGTCTCACCATGTTGACTAGGCTGGTCTAGAACTCCTGGGCTGAAGCAATCCTACTGCCTCAGCCTACCAAAGTGCCAGGATTATAGGTGTGAGCCACCACAGCCATCTACACATTTTCGAAATATTAATCCACTAATTCTCCTATAAGTAATAACTCTATGAGGGTAAAGACTGCTATTTTTCCCACTGTACAGATGAGGGAACTGAGGCAGCAAGATTAAGAAACTTTCCCAAGAGCTAGTATGTTACAGAGTAATGGTTTTTTTTTTTTTGAGTTGGAGTCTCACTGTCGCCCAGACTGGAGTGCAGTGGCCGCTCCCGGCCACCGCGGCCTCGATCTGCTGGGCTCCGGCGATCCTTCCGCCTCAGCCTTCCGAGTAGCCGGAATTACAGGTGCTACCACGACCGGCTGATTTTTTGATTTATTGTAGAGATGAGGTCTCGCTGTCCAGGCGGGTCTCGAACCCGCGGGCTCAGGCAATCTACTTACCTCAGCCTCCCAAAGCGCGGGATTATAGGCTGAGCCACCGAGCCCGGCCTCAGAGTAATGTTTTAAAGTCAAGCATTCTAGCTCTAGAAGCCTCTGTCTTAATTATTATCCTATACTGCCCAGAAAATACATCAGAGACCCTGGGTTTGTGTCCAAATTCTACAACTTACTGAGTTATCTTGGTAACACAGCGTTATTTTTTTCTTTTGTAAAATACGAATATGCCCCTTAGGGGCCATGCAAATTAAATGAAATATGTTGGCTGGGCGCGGTGTCTCAAGCCTATAATCCCAGCACTTTGGGAGGCCGAGGTGAGAGGGTTGCCTGAGCCCATGGGTTCGAGAATAGCCTGGGCAACTTGACGAGACCTCATCTCTACAATAAATCAAAAAACTAGCTGGGCATGGTAGCACATGCCTTTAGTTCCAGCTTGCCTTTAGTTCCAGCTACTTAGAAGGCTGAGGTGGAAGGATCGCCTACATCCAGCAGGTTGACGCTGGGACGGTCATGGGCATGCCACTACACTCCAGCCTGGGCGATGGAGTGAGACCCCAACTCAAAAAAGAAAAAAGAAATAACATATGTCCAAGTGCTTTATAACCAATGGTACATTTTACAAATGTAATTTGTCAGTATAATTATACTATTTGGTAGAGAAGAGAAAAACAAGGAACAAGCCAATTTTAAAAACTCTCAATCTGAACTGTACAAAAAAAGAATAAAGAATTCCTATTCTACAAGAAAGGAACACATAAATAACCATGCAATAGAAAGAACTTTTTTTAAAAAAGATGGGGTCTGAGCCGGGCTCGGTGGCTCAGCCTGTAATTCCAGCACTTTGGGAGGCTGAGGTGAGTGGATTGCCTGAGCCCGCAGGTTCAAGACCCACCTAGGCAACTTGGCGAGACCTCATCTCTACAATAAAATTTAAAAAATTAGCTGGGCGTGGTAGTGCACACCTGTAGTTCCAGCTACTTGGAAGGCTGAGGTGGAAGGATCGCCAGAGTCCAGCAGGTCGAGGCTGTGGTGGCCAGGAACGTGCCACTGCACTCCAGTCTGAGCTACAGGATGAGACTCCAACTTAAAAAAAAAAAAAAAAAGATGAGGTCTCTTGGGCATGGTTGCTCACACCTGTAAACCCAGCACTTAGGGAGGCAGAGGTAGGAGGATTGCCTGAGCCCAGGGTTTTGAGATCAGCCTAGGCAACTTGGCAAGACCTCGTTTCTATAATAAATTTTAAAAATTAGCCAGGTGTGGTGGTGTGCACCTGTAGTCCCAGCTAGTTTAAAGGCTGAGATGGAAGGATTGCCTGCGCCATGCATATCAAGGCTGTGGTGGCTGTTAAGCATGCCACTGCACTCCAGCCTAGGCAAGAGTTGAGACTCCAGCTAAAAAAAAGAGAGAAAAGCCGGGCTCGGTGGTTCAGCCTGTAATCCCGCACCTTTGGGAGTCTGAGGTGAGTGGATTGCCTGAGCCCACGGGTTCGAGACCCACCTGGGCAGCGAGACCTCATCACTACAATAAATCAAAAAATCAGCCAGGCGTGGTAGTACGCGCCTGTAATTCCAGCTACTCGGAAGGCTGAGGCGGAAGGATCGCCGGAGCCAAGCAGTTGGAAGCTGCGGTGGCTGGGAGCGGCCACTGCACTCCAGTCTGGGCAAAGGAGTGAGACTCCAACTCAAAAAAAAAAAAAAAACAAGAGAGAGAGAGAGAGAGATGGTTTCTGGTTCTATCATTCATGCTGGAATGCAGTGGAACAATCATAGCTCACGCTCACTACAGCCTCAAATTCCTGGGCTCCAGGAATCTTCTTGCCTCAGCCTCCCAGGTAGCTAGAACTACAGGTGACATGCCAGCATGCCAAGCTAACTTTTAAAATTTTTTTAGAGATAGAGTCTCACTATGTTGCCCAGGCTGGTCTTGGACTCCTGACCTCAAGATATCCCGCTTCAGGCTTCCCAAGTAGCTGTAGCTACAGGCATGCACCACCACATCCAGCTCAATAGGAAGAACTTCCTGACTATGACAATCTAGTAAGTCATGGAATAGATTATCGTAACACATCAAAACAAAGTTCACATCCCTCTGACACTTTTGGCCTGTTACTGTATGAAAACAAGGAGTTGGAGAAGAGTAACATAAAAATGATCTCTGTGTAAAACGATAGGATGATTTCAAGCTGCTCCCTGGCATTGTTTATTCAATTAAAAAATATTAATAACTTTAAAAAACTGCTTCTGCACTTATGAATATATATCAAAGGTTTAATAAATGTTCACAACTCTCAATCTAATAACTCTTAAGAAAATAATAGCAGACCTTGAACAATTATCATAATACTATAAGAAATGGAGGCCGGGCTCGGTGGCTCAGTCTGTGATCCCAGCACTTTGGGAGGCTGAGAAGTGGATTGCCTGAGCCCGTGGGTTCAAGACCCACCCGGGCAACTTGGCAAGACCTCGTCTCTACAATAAATAAAAAAATTAGACAGGCGTGGTAGCACATGCCTGTAGCTCCAGCTACTTGGAAGGCTGAGGTGGAAGGATCACCAGAGCCCAGCAGATCGAGGCTGCGGTAGCCGGGAGCGTGCCACTGCACTCCAGTCTGGGCGACTGAGTGAGACTCCAACTCAAAAAAAAAAAAGAGAAAGGGATTGGCCATAGTGGGAAACTCCCAAGGGAGAGGGGAACAGCTCATCAACAAGGGTACCTGCATAGTGAACATTTATATACCTAACCCTGAATTATACCCCACATCTTTAAAATAAAAAAATTTTAAAGTTAAAAAATTTAGAAAAATGAAAAAAAAGAAAATAATAGCTAGGCACGGTGGCTCACACCTGTAATCCCAGAACTTTGGGAGGACTGCCTGAGTCCAGGGGTTTAAGACCAGCTTGGGCAACTTGGCAAGACCTCATCTCTACAATAAATCAAAAAATTAGCCAGGCGTGGTGGTGCATGCCTGTGGTTCTGGCTACTTGGAAGGCTGAGGTGGAAGGAACACCTGAGTGCAGCAGGTTAAGGATGCGGTAGCCATGAGCGCACCCCTGTACTCCAGCCTAGGTGACCGAGTGAGACTCCAACTTTAAAAAAAAAGAAAAGAAAAGAAAACAAAATAATTATACAAGCAAAGATCAATAATGATGAAGATGAACATTATTTGTTTTGTCATTATATATTTAGGGAATACAAGTGCAGATTTCTTACATGTTTTATGTTGCGTAGTAGTGAAGTCTAAGTCATTACAACTTTTTTTTTTTTTTTTTTTTGGGTTGGGGTCTC